AACCATTAACACAGGCCTGGTAATTGCAGTGTAATTCTGTTTTTAACCAAGCCCAGCGTGTGATCATCCCCTCGTGGGGTGGGAGGTCAGGCCTGTCCCTGTGTCCCATAATTGATGGCTGTGCCCAGGCCAGGCTGAGCCTGCTCCAGGCTCCATGGAATGCTTGCCTTCCTGGGATTCCTGGCCAGGACCTGCTGGAAGGGACTGGCAGTGAAGGGTTTGGGATCGAGCTGCTTTCTGTGCAGGGGAACATTTTATTTTTTTTTTTTTTAAGCTATTGACATAAAAGATATTTATGGATTAAGTGAGCTGCTCTCCCAGTTCTGCAGGGATAAATTACAAGCTAAAACACTTTGCAGGCATCTTTTGGGTTTTTCCTCTACGAAATAAAGGTAAAATAAGAAAGAGTGTTTCCAAAATGTGTGTTCCAAACACATTTAAAATAGGATATGCTGTGGAATGGGCTGGCAGGCACCTTCTGATAGCTCAGGAGATCCCTGTGGATCATGACAGCTCAGGATATGTGTACACACACACAGGACAGCTCCTACCAAACACTCCTGTCCCACAGCCTTGGGAATGGAAGGCTCATCTGGTATGGAAGGTTCATCTGGGCTTTACTGCACAGAAATAGAATCACAAACACACTTGCTGACAGGGAGCGACTCAGAGTCTGAAGAAATTGGTTTTCCAGCCCATTTCTTGTTGTTTAACTCTCTCCTCTCCAAGTAACTCTTTGTCCATATAAAACAACATGAGTAACTAACACTGCAAAGATGGAGTCTGTACATAAATGAATAAGTGACATAAGTGCAAAAGCAGGACATATTTTCCTCTCTCTTCCCCTGCCTGGCAATACAAATGTAATCCAAGCACAGCAACTGCTGTGCCAGGGGCCAGAGCCAGGAGCAGAAGTGCAGCAGTTTTTTCCAAAGCCATCACTGTAACTCCCTGGAAAAGCAACACAACCAGCCTTACCCAGCTGCAGATCCTCTGTTCTCCCACGCTGGAGTGTGGCACATCCTTCCAGGGCTGGAGGCAGTGCAGAGTGCTGGTGGGATGTGCAGAGGAAAAGCCTGTGAGGGTTTCTAAAGCCCAGTCCCACACTGGTCTGCTCTCCACGGGCACTTAGGGAGCTGTTCAGAGTCACAGCCAGAGCCCAGTACCTCTGAGTGACTCTGTAGCATCAAATTCCACATGTTTTCCATCCAGTTTAGGAGGTTGGTGTTGCTGTTTGGGAATCTGCAGTGCTGCTGGAGCATCAGCCTTCAGAACCAACTACAGGGGGGAAAACGGATTAGACAACTTTGAGCAAGATTCATGAATGACTAAAGGGTGGCTCATTAATCATAAGACAGTAATTAGCAAACAAAACCACTGTTACTGGAGTGGGATGTAATGACCTAAACCAACAGAGCTGCCTTTCCAACTCCTGTTTCAGAGCCAAGGGGAACGTCTCCTGTCCAGGGAAGCCCCCGAAGAGCTGAAGCAGCAGCCTCTGGCCCTGGGATACTTCGTGTCGACTGCCAAAGCTGAGAACCTTCCACAGTGGTTCTGGTCCTCCTGCCCTCAGGCACAGAACCAGTGTCCCCTCTTCCTGAAGGTCTGTCCTGCTCCACGGAGCACTTACTGTCCATTGCTGTTTCCCTGCTGGTACAGGTTGCACACTGGAGACTGTGGTGTCAGGGTGAACCTGAGACCTCCCCCAGAACTTGTGAGGTGCCCACAGCAGACCTGGTTCAGCTGCTGGAGATTCACTGACCCCTGGGCAGTCTCCTGCAGCTTCTTGTGTGAATGAATCATAAAATGTGAGCTGGTGAAAAGCAAGGGGAAAATGTGTCTTGAATGGCATCACATAACCATTCAAACAACATATAGAATAATGAAGTTAGTACCTCTTTCTTGGTCCACTCCCAGCTTAATTAAGAAATCCTAAACTTCTTTTCAAGTCTCTTAACTAAATTCTTTCCTCAGGCAAACAAAGCCGTTCCAGGGCTGATGTGAGCAATGACCCACAGTCACCATGGCAGGCTGGGGCTCAGGCAGCACCTCAGACAGAACACTGAGCCTTGGGCCTCACACTCTGCCCTTTATGGACACACATCCCTCAAGTGTGTGCATTTCTTTAAACCCACACAAGGGAGATGTCAAAATAATATGAAAAATAAACCACCCTGGTTTTGGAGCTAGAGATGAAGTTTTATGTTTTTATGCCCTGCTGCTGGGAGAGCCTGGAGACTCAGTCTGGTTTGTTACTGAAGCTCCAAAAGAACCAGTGGCACAGCCCAAGGATTCCCCTCATCTCTTCCTCCCTGAGTAACATGCAGAACAGAATTCAGTGTTCTTTTATGAGGATTAACTGTTGCTTTCTCCCTCTGCACAGGCCTCACTGCATCACCACATCTCTGTAGCGCAGACAGACGAGCTCCTACCTGCCAGAAATTCTCAGCGAGTTCCTCACCCCCTTGACTCTAAAACTACATCAGATGTCTTGAGGTAACACCTTTTAGGTTCTGCATTTCCTCCCTAAAGGTTTGGGGACTGAGTTCAGGGGTTTCAGAGGGATCTTTCCAACCTGGCAAAGTTATTTGTGGGTTTTATCAGCAGTTTATAACTGTGCTGTGCCCTACATGTGTCTGTGGGCAGTGGGGCATCTGCTTCAGCTGCTGCCTCCTTCCCCCCCAGGGCAGGGCTTTGAGAGGGAATTCAGTGGGTTTCCTACCCCTGTGCACAACAATCCAAAGGAAACTCAGAGGCAGCTCAGCCTCACCAAGGAGACACCTTGGTTTGCCTCCCACAGATTGTCCTGTTCCCTCAGGGTCCCATCTGGGCTGTGCCAGTCATTATTTTTACTCACCCAACCAAATGGATTTACAGGAGATAAAAGTACCCTCCTGATACCACTGTCTTAGGAATTGGGATGTAAAGGAGACATTGCTCCTGAATTAATACAGGGAGGATGTTGGGTTGTTCAGGATAACCAGAGGCCTGTTTGCCTCCAGGTCTGTGTTGTGAGAGCACACAGTGCAGGACACACCAGGGAGCAAACAGAGTATCAGCAGGGAGCAGGATGAGTAATCTGATCTGGGAAATTGGTGGTGTATTATTCCAGAAGATCTGAATTTGCACCCTCTTAGAGGACTGAGCTCTCACAGCCATCTTGGGGTATTGAGGATGCAGTGAGTGCACAGGGAAGGGATGAGATGCAATGTAGGTTACAAGAGGAGAAAGTCTAATCAGACACAGGATCCCAAGAACAGGGTGATCAAAAACTGGCACAGGTTGCCCAGAGAGGCAGTGGAACACCTTAGAGGTGCTCAGGCCTCAGGGCTTTGAAGACAGTGGCATTGGAACCTCTTTGAGTCCACACTCTCTAACTGGGGAGGCCCTGCATTCCAGTTTGGTTCCAGTTCAGACGTTGCAAAACGGAAAACTCTGCTTCCCCTGCTTCCCAGTGAGGTTCCTGCTTTGCCAACCCCCCTGGCAGTGCTGTCAGAGATCCCTTTGGGTCAGTCTGGCAGTGCTGAGCAGTGCTGTGTGCCCCCAGGTTCGTGCTGGAGCAGTACAACGCGCTGTCCTGGCTCACGTGTAACCCGGCCACCCAGGACCGCAGCTCCTGCCTGCCCGTGCACTTCGTGGTGCTCACCCAGCTCTACAACGCCATCATGAACATCCTCTGAGAGACACAAAAGCACTTCTTCTTCCTCTGGCTTCGGCCCCCCTCGGCCTGACAAACGTGCCACAGCCTGCAAACCCCACGGTTCCGCTTCTCTTCAGACCAGTCCCGTGCTGTGCTTCTGTCCCTCCAGAGCACACGTGGATTCCGCAGCGCTCGGAACTGAACCACCCATCGGCACCTCCGGCAGCTTCAGTCCAAAATCTGGGAACATCCAAGAACAGTGAACACAGAGTAACCTCAAGCCAGTGTTAGTTTGGTGGCCCAGTAACTACTGGTCGGTGTGTGATTATTTTTTTTACTATTTTATTTTTTTAAGGAAGACTACAGGATCTTTTTTTTGCATTAGGAACTGATACACGACCGAGAGCAGGCCCGGCCCTGCCAGCAAAACCACCTCGTAGTGACCAGTTGGGGTGTTTTGTTGTTTGATCTTCGGAAACTGGGACTTTGCAGGAGGGGAAAAAACCACGACCACAAAACCACACAGTCGTAGTCTCGTATAAATATTGGAGTTTTCTGTCTACCTGGAGTTCCTGTCAGAGTGGATCGGGATGAATGCATGCATTTGTTACCTGTCCATGTAGATATGAATGGTCTGGAGATACTTTATTTATTTTTAGGTTTGGGGAGGGAGGGATTAAATTATAAAGGACCAGGAACAGTAGAATATCTTCAAAATCCAGCTCCGTTCCACTGTGGGGTTATTTATCTACAGACCTCTCACTCTTCTGACCTAGAAATCAAAAGTGAAGCTCTTCACAGTCCGTGTCCAAGCTGGGAAGGGAAGGATATATTGCATTTTCAGGAATTCTCACCTGGGTTTAGCCTGGTTAAAGCAAGGAATGGCCAGTGTTCAATGAAGGAAAACACTACCTAAGGGAGAAGAGTGAGAGAGAGGTAGGGAGGAAAAATACTTTAAAGCCCAGTGTGAGGGTGAGTGGAAAGTGGTAAATTAATCTATCATAGAGCTCTGATTGAGATATATTTCCAGTAAATTTAGTGATGCTAGAAAGCTATTTACTGAAAGCCAGGTCACCCTTGAATTCTGGGCACACTCGTCCATGTACATATCCAAAAATACGTGGGGTTTTTTTTGTTTACACTAAATCAGTTGCAAACCTGGTGTATTTTTTTTCTGACTATAGGAATATTATTTCAAAGAAATAATTTTTAAAAACAAGCAAACAAAAGAGTTATATCGTTTTAAATTAGTACTTGAAAAAGCGACACCAACCGTGGTGGCAAAGCAGCTCCGTTCAGTGGGACGTCGGGAAGGGTTTTTATGGCTCCTTCATTCCAGGCTCCGAGGGGTTGGGGTGTTCCAGCCCCGTTTTCCTCGTGTTTGGGGGTGCACTGGGCAGGGGTTGGGTCACTTTGGTCAGGCTGAGTGACCTTCTGACCTGTCCGGGGAGAGAAAAAAAACAAACCACCGAGTTTGAAAAAAAGTTCTTCCAAAAAAAAAAAAGACTTTTCGTGTGTTCTGGTTAAAAAAAAGAATAATAATAATAATAATTAAAAAATAAAAAAAATGAGATTCTATGGTTTTAAGAAGTATTTTTCTTGAGATGATGTAACATTTAAAACAAATTCTATAAAATAATTAAAAAAAAAAAAGAAAAAAAAGAATTGCTTGTGTAATGAGAAGGTGGAGGCAGAGGAGGAGCCTGTAAATGGATTATTTCCTTCTCTGCACACACCTCCACGTGGGTATCGTATCCTCTTTGCAATGTATAGGTTAAAAAAAAAAAATCTGATATCAAACCATTTGTATCTAATGTGTACAGTGTAAAATTGACTTTAAAAATATTGCAGTACTATTTTTTCTTAATCAGAAAAGAAAATTCTCAAGGCCTTTTGAAGAGCATAAAAAGATGAAGATTGTAAACTTGTATAAAAAAAAAAAAATTTAACTTGGGGAGGAAAAAAATGTAAAGTAGACATTTGTAATCTTTTACCATTTGGGGGTTATTTGTTCCCAGGATTCATCTGAACTTTGGATTATTATTTTGTTTATTGTTTTTAAATGGGCCGTTTTTATCCAGGGGCGTTTCTTCCCCACAAACCTGGTTCTAAGCAAAAATTAGAAATAAAAAAAAAAAAAGGGCAGCAAGGAGTAGTTTTCATCTGGTGTCTTTTATTTAATTTTTTTAAGTTAAGAGAAGCTGGTGACATATTTATACATTTTTGTGCAAAATAAATGAATGGCAATAGATTTTAAAGAAAAAAAATCTTATGTACTTCAGTGTGAAAAGTTCTGTATAATATTTCCCTTAAATATGCATTATTTTACTTGTGAGTTTTTTACTGAATTAATCTGAAATGTACAAGCCCTGGCTTTCCTACAGAGTGAAGAAAGTTATTTTATTTTTTTTTTTTCCTTTTTTTTTTTTTTTAAATTTTTATTTCTAACTTTGGAAAATCATGCCTAACTCAGAATTCTTCTGGCAGTGGTTTGGGCTGATGGGAGGGGAGGGTGGGGATGTCCAGCATGCTTGTATGTATATTTCAGAACCTTTTTTAAATGTAAAAGCTGTACATTTCTGGGGAGTTCTGAAGTTCTTTTTTTTTTTTTTAATTTCTTTTTTTTTTTTAATTTTTTTTTTTTGGGTTGTTTTTTTTTTCTCTGAGCATTTTGCAGTGAGCTTCTTTTATATATAGCCGACAATTTGAAAGAAAACAAAACAAAAAAAAATGTGAAGTTCATTTTAAATCTACAGTATATCGCTGGTACAATACACTAAGAAAAAAGACTTTGATAAAAAGAAACAATAATAATAAAAGACCTCCATTTTAAATGTCATTCATATATACCTTGTGGATGAGAGCTATATACTTTTACACACTTTTTTAGATGAATAAATTATTGAATTACTGAAACTGTTGGTGGAGTTTTCTTCTTGGGGGGTATTGAGCTCGGAGGTTTCAGCATTCCCTGGAAAGGTGCAGATCCATGGGACAGGAAAGGAGCTGGGATTAAATATTTCAGTTAAATGTTTAAAACTGTGTCGAGGGGAAATTCGGTGTCAGTGCTGAGATGAGCAGTAAAATCCTGCTGGGGTGGGTGGGAGCAGCCTGGGATGATCCAGCCTTTCCATGAGCAATTCCAAACACAGCAGCTTCACCAGCTCTGGAGGAGCTTCTCTGTGCTGCAGGTGAGTCTCTGACAGGAGGTGGCAGTGACACATCAGGCCTGGCTGTGCCCCCTCCCTGCCCAGGGACAGGGACAGGGTGGCTCCAGGACATTCCCAGCATCAGACCCACCCCTGTTCCCAGAAAAGCTGTGGAATCCCCATCCTGGAGGAGCTGAAGACTCAGTGGAGCCATCACTGAGCAGCAGTTCTTGGGGTGTCTGTGCAGGGCCAGGGCCTGGGTTCAATGATCCTTGTGGATCCCTTCCAGCTCTGGATACTCTGGGATTCTGGGATAACTGTACCTGCTGTGGGCAGGGCCTGGTTGGACTGCTGGACCCAGGACATCCCTCCAGACCAGGACAGTTTGGGTTTACAGGGTCATTTCTGAACACAGACGGGCAAAAATAGAACAACCAGAGCCCCCAGGGCTGCTCCTGAACAGGACCAGAGGCCTGTTCCACGCTCAGCTCCCATAGGAATAGTTTTGGGAAAACTTAGGACTGAATCTTCAGATAATGTCTCATTTTCTGTACTTCAAGAAGTGAAAACCTGTGACCTCCCTAAGTACATTTTAATTACTCTGAAATTCTTCTTTTCCCATCCTTAATTGTGGTGCCACCCCCAGCTGTGGCCGTCCTGGGATGCAGGAGGGGTCCAGCTGTGACCATCCCGGGATGTGGGGGGATCCAGCTGTGACCATCCTGGGATGTGGGGGGATCCAGCTGTGGCCATCCCGGGATGTGGGGGGATCCAGCTGTGGCCATCCTGGGATGTGGGGGGATCCAGCTGTGACCATCCCGGGATGTGGGGGGATCCTGTGACCATTCTGGGATGTGGGGGGATCCAGCTGTGACCATCCTGGGATGCAGGAGGGAGCCTTCTGTTACACCAGTGCTGGCTGAGGGAGTCTCTGCAGACCCAAATTGCTTTCCAGCTGATCTTCACAGCTCCCTCCCTTGCAAAGTATCCTAAAAGAACTCCTTTTCCATGAGGAGCTGGAGCCCACAGGTGCATCCAGTGATTGGGTGCAGGAATTGCCACTCTGTTCTGTGGGTTTGGGATTTCCTCTGTAGCTGTTAATTCCACTCCACTTGAATTTTGGTGCATCTTATTTCTGAATTGAGATAGTTACACAATACTCCCTAAGATTTTTCCTTTTTCTTTTTTTTTATTTTTTTATTTTAACTTTCAAGTTTGTATCTTTTAGTCCACTTTACTTTTGGTAAATTCTGGTACTAAATGACACTGTACAATTTCCTTGTGTGAGTTCCCACAGAACAGTTGCACTTTGGTCTCCCCCTGTGAGTGCTGTGAGTACCTGGAATCGCTGCAGTTGTTAAATGGAGATTACTTTGTGGCTAATTTATTTGCTTTAAAGGCAAAACTACAGACTAAATGTTCCATGAGGACTGTAAGGAAGAACTGAAAACACTGAAATCTCAGTTGATTCGTAAGAATGATGGAATATTTATGACACTGGGCACAGTACTGTGGTGATGGGCCCTTTAATACCAATAAAGAAAATGTTTTTAAAGATCAGGCTGATATTAAACTGCTTTTCCTCTCTCAGCTGCCACTTCTATTTTTGACAAAACGTTTTGGCCACCTGAAAACCATTTCAGCACATGTAGAAAGCATCAGAAATCATGAAGTAAACATGAGGTTTATGGCCAGTCTCTCACCATTTGCAGTGGAAATGGAAACAGCCCTGAGATCCCCAAACAGGAAGTCTTTGGTCTCTAAAAACAAAGCAGGATTTATAAAATTGTGCAGTTTCCACTTCCCTATTTTGACACTGACCCTTAACCCTCAGCCCAAGGTTTCTGTGGCAGCCCCTGGTTTGTGCTTTGCTGGCTGTTCCCTGACCAGGTATCAAAGCAGGAGTCCCAGGGGGCTTCCCAGGGGACATGGAAACCTCAGGGCTGTTCTGCTGAAACCTGAAATACCCTTCAAAGGCCTGGGAGAAGGTGACACCACTCTGGGTGTGAGACCAGCTCTGAATTCAGGCTGCCCTGAGCTGTCCATGGGTGAGACCCGACCTGAGCCCTGCTCCAGGCTGAGACCATTCCATGTGTGGCAGCTCTGCCTCTGCTTCCAGACAGTGTAACCAGGGATGAGCATAGCCAAGAGAGCTCATGGAAGCTAAAACCATAGAACACATGCTCATTTATCTGATAAACATGAGCTTTTTTCCTTAGTGAAACCTTTCAGAATTACAGTTCTAATAAAGCTTCCCTGAGGGCCCCTTTGCAGCAGGGACACGGGAACTGCTGGGAACCAAGAATGTCTTTCATGGTCCTGCAACACCTGCCAGACTTCCCTGGCTCCCCCTGTTTGCTCCACAGAGCCTGGGCCCCAAAGCCAGGCTCTCCTTTCAGTTCTGACCCCCCCCTCTGGTACCCAGCCACCTCCTCTGCCTTCCCATCCCAGGAACTGGGGGGCTTTCCTACCTCACACACCCCTTTTGCTGTGGGACAGACATTCCATTCCAGACAGACCTGCTTCTTCAGGATCTTTGCCATCTACACAGCACCATCAACTCCTTCCCAGGCAGGGATGCTCATCCAGCTGGGTCCTTTTAGGGGACACAGAGAGGCCAGCAGAGAGCTGACACAGCCCACGTGGCAGCCAGGGCAGGCCCGGGGCCTTCACAAACCGAATTTATTTTCCTTACACAGTAAATTGGACATATGTTTAAAAAAACTCCTACCAGCCTGACGCTCTCTTTGTTTTTATTTAAATATTTTGCCATTGGGAAAATGTCAGGCTGGTCTAAGCCTAGGAACAAACTACATCCTCAAATGCATTGCTGCTACTGGGAGTGTTTTGAGAACTTCCTGCCAACAGAATCCCCATTAAAAAAGGATCACACAGCCCTGCAGGAAAACCTCACAGGTTCCTGTGATTCTGTAAAACCCAATCCCACTGATGAAAAAATCCCAAAGCAAGACTTTTTTACCCTTGCATCTGGGTGAATACTGTAAGAATTCTTTTTAAATTCTTTTTTTTCAGTTATTTGTGATTTCCTGCAGTCAGTGGCAGCTGTGACATGTCACATTAATCACATCTGTGCCATCTATGTGGGATTGACTTTATGGATAACCAGAAGCCACATCCCCGGTCTTCCAGCAGGGGTCACGTTTTGATGGCAAATGAAACTCCAGCTTCTTCCTAGACCGGGCTTTTAAAAAACCCAAATTAAAGCGCTCACAGCTCCGGAGCTGGACCATTAAAGGTCAACCACGCGAACAGGTGTGGGTTCAGCGGTC